GCCCCCAAACAGCCCAAGATGGCCCCAAGACGCCTCCAAGAGAGTCCCAAGGTGGCCCCAAGAGGCTCCCAAGAGGGCCCGAATAGGCGGTGCAGGGACTGGGCTGCTTCGGTGTGGGGTCTGGGCTGGCCCCAAGCTGGTCCAAGAGTCCCAAAACGGTCCAAAAGGGCTTCTAACAAGCTCTTCACACCACGGCTCCCAAGGGCGAAGGGTGCGATGGGCCCTCTCGGGCCAGTTCCTGAGGCGCTCTTTCCGTGCCGGCCCAGGTGACGGAAAGAGCGAGGCACGAACGAGAGACGTTGCGGTTGGGCGCTTGCGCCTCCCTGGACCTCGCCGCCCCCTGGGTGGCTGCGATCTGCGAAATTGTCGCCACTTGCATGCTGGGGGGGCCAGCGGAGTGACGTCTTGCGCGGGTCACCGCGAGACCTCGCCGCCCCCTGGGTGGCTGCAATCTGCGAAACTGTCGCCGCTGTCATGGGCTTCTGGAAGGGCCGACGGAGTGACGTCTTACGCGGATCCCCGCGAGACCCCGCCGCCCCCCGGGTGGCTGCGATCTGCGAAGCTGTCGCCACTTTCGTGAGCTTCTGGGAGGGCCAGCGGAGTGGCGCCTTACGCGCGAGACCTCGCCGCCCCCTGGGGGGCTGCGATATGCGAAGCTGTCGCCGCCGTCGCGAGTTCTGGGAGGGCCACCGGAGTGGCGCCTGATGCGGATCACCGCGAGACCTCGTCGTCCCCCGGGGGGCTGCGATCCAGGAGCTGCCGCCAGATTCGTGGGCTTCTGGGAGGAGGGCCAGCGGAGTGACGTCTCGCGCGGAGCACCGCGAGACCTCGTCGCCTCCTGGGTGGCTGCGATTTGCGAAACCGTCGCCACTTTCGTGGGCTTCTGGGCGGGCAGGCGGAGTGACGTCTTACGCGGATCACCGCGAGACCTCGCCGCCCCTTGGGGAGCGGCTGCAATATGCGAAACTGTCGCCACTTTCGTGGGCTTCTGGGAGGGCCAGCGGAGTGACGTCTTACGCGGATCACCGCGAGACCTCGCCGCCCCCCGGGTGGTTGCGGTGGGCTTCTGGGTGGGCCAGCGGAGTGACGTCTTGCGCGCGTCACATCTATAGCTCGCCGTCCTTTGGGGGGCAGCGACCTGCGAAGCCGTCGCCACTTTCGCGGGCTCCTCGGAGGGCCAGCGGAGTGACGTTTTACGCGCATCACAACTGTAGCTCGCCGTTCCCTGGGGGCCTACGATATGTGAAACTGTCGCCACAAGTCCCATGAGGCATTCGCGGCCGGGTCTATAAACTCGGCGGCAGTCAGGCACAGGGCTTAACGCATGAGGCACAGGCAGGTGTGATTCCAACCATGCTCATAGTCGCGCCGTGGACGGATGAGGACGGATAACCTTCCCAAGGGCACCCTCGCGTCCTTACACTGTTCGGCAGCGCGCCGCCAGAAAGCTTCCGACCTGGGCGTCCAAGGACCGTCCAAGGGTGTGACGCCCTTGCCGCGCGAACGCCTCGCAGAGCACGGGGAGGGGGCGGCCGTCTCGGGCGGGGCGCAGCTGGTCTTCGTCGAGCCGCGCACGTCGTGCCCTTCTGACTTCCGCAGAGCACTGGCGCGCGCGGGCCCGCGGATCTCCCGCGCCAAAGTCCTCGCGTCGACGGCCTGCCGGGGGCGGGCCGTGGACGTGGGCGTCGTCGTCGGCGCCGGGTATAGGGATGCTGACTGTATGGGCGGGTGCTGTCTCCATTTGCGCGTCGTGCTCTCCAGGGCAACGGCGTCGGACAACCTGCCCACGATCCGAGATCCAGGCCTGGACTTTTCGCCCAGGGGGCCACCGGCGGACCTCGCCGCGCGCCTCCGCGCGTTCAGTGTGCCCGCGCGGGGCGCTGCAGGAAAGAGACCGTGAAGTTTGCGCGCGAGCTCGGCCTGGCCGAATACCTGCGCGAGTGAAGGCGACGCCTGCTGGCGGCCGCGGGCGCGTGTCCAATCTGCGCGGCGCGTCGGTGGAGAAGCTGTGCGCTCGCGGCCGCGGCGCGGCGCCGCTGCGATCTATGGACCCATCGTGCTTCCGCGTGCGTTTTGCCCTGGGGTTCGCAGCGGGCGGCGACCGGCCGCCGATCGAGTGGCCAGTGCCCGCGCCGCGCGCGGCGCTGTCCCGCCAGGTGGGGCGGCGTCGCCGAGTCGCGGAGCGCAGGGCGCAGCGGCGTCGCGTCGCGCGCGGCGCTGTCGCGCCTCCGTGTCTCATCCTCTTCATCGGGTGCCTCGCAGCGCGCGGAGTCGTCTGCCCCAGTTCTGCAGCGGCTCTCGCTGCCTCTGCCGCGGACGGCGCCGTCTGCCCCCCCCCCTCCCCTGCCTCTTGCAGCGCCCAGCGCGTCGCGCGGTTCCGCGACGTGACGCCTGGCGCTGTCCTGCATAGCGGGCGCAGCGCGCGGCGCTGTTCCTCGCGCTACGCATTCCTGCCATTTCCTGCCATCTTACCCTTGCCTCCTCATCGCGTCGTCGGCCTGGAGAGACCCAGGGGGGGACAGTTGCTAGGGGTGCCCCGTACATATCTCCGCGCGCTGCATCTTTGGTTCGAGCAAAGGGTGGCCCATCGGACCCTGGCCCCGTGTTTGCCGACTCCGCCACCCCTGCCGAAGGTTCCATCGTGGCCGTGGCCGCAGGGGGAGATTATTCTGGGATGCTGAGGAGTGACGGGGCGGCCTTTCTGGCGACGCAACACGATTTCCGCGGGTTCTTCCTGCTCCGAGCTGCGGCATTATGTGCGCGCAGGTATCGATGGGCGCCTCGAATGGGGCAATGAACTACGTCGCTCTTCTTACCGGGGATGGGGCCGTTGAAATCTACATCGCGCAGCATCTCGCCGCGACGGGGCTCGTTGTCCAGTGCCGCAAGACGATTCATTTCCCATTTGTCTCTGTGGCGCAGTTCGCGTCTCGAGACGACTTCGCTGTTCTTCTGGTGAGGAACGGCGACGTCCGAGTCGATCCGCGTGTCCCGACGGCAGGGGTGCTCGAGATCCAGGCGCACGGCTGCGAGGTGCGCTGCGTGCGCGTCGCAGCTGGCGGCGGGGCCACTGGCCTAGTGCGGAGCGACGGCGCAGCCGAGATCCTCCACAGCCGTCTCGTAGGTTTTTCCTTCGACTTCCAATCATGCGCTCCAGCGGCCGGGGCGGGAGTTGCGCGCGCGCAAATGGGCGCGGGGATGGGCCGCGCAGTGCTCCTGCAGAGCGACCGGCGGTCGTTTCGTGGCATTGCCTACGCCATGGCGAAAAGGTAACGTCGGTCAGTGCAACGTCCCGGCGCTTCACGATGGTCTTACCTATGCGCGAGTGTCGGCTGGTCTGGCTCGCGGTCCCTCTCCTGAGCAATGGCGACGCAGTGGCTTGCGGTGCCAGCTCGCGCGGTCAGTGTAGCATCCCGCTACTGGATGCAGGATGCACCTATGCCGGCACGGCCGCGGGGGCGTCCCATGCGGCGCTCTGTCGAAACGACGGGCGCGTTCTGATTTTCGGCCAGGGGGGCTCGCGCCAGCCCGAGCTGGGGCCGAATTTGATTTACGTGGCCGAGGTGATGGCTACGCTGGTGCTGCTGGCGACGCTGGAGGAACGCGCGATGCGTTTTTGTGTTCTGAGTGGAGCGGAGCGTTGGAGCGATCACGTGCCCCCCCCTGCCAGTGGCGAGCTCGCGACCGCGCGGCGCCAGTTCATGGCTGAGTGGCGCGTGGGCAAGGAGGGCCACAGATTGAGGCGGGTGGACGTGGTCCTACTGGCAGGGCTACTGTTCGCCGACGTGTCCGTGGGGGAGACCGTCGCGGGCGTCTCCCGCCTGGGGGCCCCGATGGGCGAGGCGCGCGCAGAGCCGGCAAGGCCTTGGCGCGAGCAGCGCTGGTCCCGTGATCTGTTGCAAAACTCGACCCGCGCAGCCGGCCCATGTGAACCGCGCGGCCAAGAATTTTCCGCGCGTCGGTGCCGCCGGCAACTGCCTGGTGGCGGGAGAGCACGACCGCCTGACATTTCGTGGCTTTCGTTCTGCTCGGTCTCGACAACGGCGACCTCGTCTGCGACGCGCGCGCGCATGCACGCGCGCGCAGGGCGCTGTCGCATGATTGGGCGCGTGGTGCCGTTTCTCTCGGTGCGCGGCGGGGGCCCTGGGGGGGCCAGCGGAGCGGGGCGTCGCGGTGGCGACGCGAACGTTGGCCTCTTCCAGCGTCTGCGACGCGCGCGTGCCACTCTTCGAACTTGACCCGCTGGGCTCTGAGGGTTACCAGCAGCGTGTAGCAGCCGCAGCGAGTCACGTATAGAGAAAGCGTGACCTTCCCCCGTCGCATAGCGCAAGGCGCTGTTAGATCGCGCGGCGCAGCGTGTGCGAGCGCCGCGCAGCGAATGGCGCATGGCGCTGTCCGTTGCCCATGCCGCATCCCTTCTTGAGTTGCCTGTTGCTTGTAATGCATGCGGGCACATGCTACGTTTAGTGCAAGGCGTTGTGCTGTCATAACGCGCAGAGCGCTGTCCTGCAATGCGAACGCAACGCAAGGCGCTGCCACTCCTGCGATGTATGTCTCCAGCCGTCCCTCCTCCACATGTTTCCACGCCCCCTCGTGATCGCTCTCCTGCCAAGGACCTGACTCTTAAGAGTGTCGCCTCGTGCATATGTGAAGCATCTGGCTTTCGCCCGACGTTCTTTGGCCAAGCGTTCATGGGCATTGCGGATCATTCAATGATTGCTTTTGCGTTGGGCGAATCCATGTGTACTCGTCACACGCTTAAAAGAGTTGGGTACGTCCCCAGGTTTTCTTTCTCCTCCTCCTCCCTTCCCGAAGGTCCTTCCCCTCCCCCCTTTCGCCCTCCTGCTCCTCCCTCCCCCTCCTCGTTCGCCCCCCTCCTCCTCTTTCCCTGTTCCCTCCCCCCCTTCGCCCTCCTCCTCCATTCCGTCCCCCCTTGGTCCTCCCTTTTCCTCTCCCCCCCCTCTCCTTCCGCCCCCTGTCTCGGCGACGCTGGCTTGCAGGTGGACTGGGCCAGCAGTTTGGACAGCGATGAGCTGCTGGCCGCCTGCAGACAGGACCTGGAGGCGATGCCCTTCGCGCTGTGTGACTGCCCTGCGGAGGCAGCCCCTGTGGGCGACGCCCTTCGCTCCCTGCTTCCTCGTTGGCCTCCCTTTTTTCGTCCGCGCGGGGAAGCGCGATGCCATCGGCGGGTCGTCCGCGTGGGGAAGCGCGACGCCATCGGCGATGCCATTCGGTATGCCGTTGACCACCCTTCTGGATGTGTTGTTGTCAAACATCGTTGTAGGATGGTTCGGCGAAAATTAATGTGTGACTTTCTTGAGGACGCTTCGCGTACCTCCAGGGCGAGCGCCGCGCCCCGCCGACTTCTTGCGCGAGCGGCCGGTAATCGGAACGTGCAACGGGGTACCGGGCGAACGACGGGCCGGGCGACATTACGGTCAGGAGCAACTTTGGCTTAGCGTGTCGCGCCGCTCGCTATGGCCCACCACGCAGTGCCTCCGCGGCCATGATGTGGTTTTCGCCAGGGTACCCCACAATCGAAGGCAAAGCAAACGGTTTCGAAAGTGTTCCGCGGGCTTTCCACTTTGAATTCCTTCTCATATGGCTCCCTGGAAGGATATCTTCGCATGCCCCCCCAAATGTGGGGTTCCTTCGTTTGCCCCGCCCCCCCTTGGACTTCGTTTTCGTGGTTCCGCCCACATGGGATTCTTTCTCTTGCCCCCTCATAAGTAAGACATTGTGTTGTGTTATGTTGTTGTTGCTGTTGCTGTTGCTGTTGCTGTTGCTGTTGCTGTTGCTGTTGCTGTTGCTGTTGCTGTTGTTGTTGTTGTTGTTGTTGTTGTTGTTGTTGTTGTTGTTGTTGTTGTTGTTGTTGTTGTTGTTGTTGTTTCTCTGAGACGGCACAATCAACATCGAAACGTAAGGCTCCATAGCTTCCCTCTCGAAGCTGCCTGGCGTGGCCGCCAATTCGGATTCCTCATCGCGAGTCTTGACCCTTTCATGTAACCCCCACTTTGGCTCCATCTCACGGGCCTCCCAGCACAGATTTTTTTCCATGGGCCCCGCAATTTGGTTCTTTGTCGTGTGCCCTCCGCTTTGGATTCCCGCTGGTGGGGCGCCCAAAGTTGAATTCCTTCAGCTGGGGCTCCCAGCCAGGACTCCTCCCTCGCATGGAGCCCGCTGTCGAGACTCCTTCTCATGAGCTCCCCAACTGTTTTTTTTTCTTTCATGTGCCCGTGCCACTCCAGTCGTGAAACGAGTCCCTCCGCCCGTCGTGGAGCGAGACCCCGCCGATGCGACGCGTCTGCGCCGCCCCCGCGCGAGCGGTGTCCACTCGCGCTGACGTCGTCGTCGTCGTCGTCGTCGTCGGAGGAGGAGGAGGAGGAGGAGGAGGAGGAGGAGGAAGAGGAGGAGGAGAAGGAGGAGGAGGAGGAGGAGGAGGAAGGCTGAGGAGGAGGAGGAGGAGGAGGAGCCGCCCAGGCGGAGGCCCGCTGGCTGTACTGGTGTGAGGAGACGGGTCTGCGCCCGGGTACCCGGGGCGCCATCAGCAGACTGAGAAAGATCATGTACAACGAGCTGTGGGGCAGGCCCAAGGTGAACGAAAACGGGGAAGCAGGAAGATCGAGGAGGAGGAACGAGGCAGAGGAGAAGTGTTGATGATGCTGATGATGCTGATGCTGATGCTGATGCTGATGCTGATGCTGATGATGCTGATGATGATGATGATGATGATGATGATGATGAGGATGATGCTGGTGATGATGATTATGCTGATGCTGATGATGATGATGATGATGATGATGATGATGATGCTGACGATGATGCTGCTGCTGCTGATGATGATGATGCTGATGCTGATGCTGATGCTGATGCTGTTGCTGATGCTGCTGATGCTGATGCTGTTGCTGATGCTGCTGCTGATGATGATGCTGCTGATGATGAAGACGCCGATGACGCTGACGATGATGATGATGATGAAGACGCCGATGACGCTGACGATGATGATGATGATGATGGTGATGATGATGATGATGATGATGATGATGATGATGATGATGATGATGATGATGATGATGATGATGATGATGATGATGATGATGATGATGATGATGATGATGATGATGATGATGATGATGATGATGATGATGATGATGATGATGATGATGATGATGATGATGATGATGATGATGATGTTGATGCTTATGCTGATGCTGATGCTGATGAGGAGGATGATGATGAGGAGGAGGAGGAAGTGGAACGATGACACGGCGACGAGGAGCGAGGAGGAGGACGCGGAGGAGGAACACGAAGAGGAGAAACGGATGAGGAGGAAGAGGAGGAGGAGGTGGAGGAGGAGGGGCAGGAGGAGGAGGAGGATGATGTGGAGCACGTTGAGTTGGAGCAGGGCGTGGAGGACGCGGAGGCCCTTCCCCCTCCCCATCCTTCTTCTCCCCCTCCTCCTCCTCCTCCTCCTCCTCCTCCTCCTTCTGCTCCTCCTCCTCCTCGACCCTTGATCCTCCTTCTACTCCTCGATCCTCGATCCTCCTCCCCTCCCAGTCCTCCCCGAGACACGAGGCTGGTGGACGGCCTCGAGGGCTGGGAGGCGCTCGCGAAGATGGGAGGCCGCCCTTGGAGGGCGGACTACGCCGCCGCACAGCGGAGCAGACTACTCGAGGCGCGCCCTCTCCTGTTGGGATGTTTCCCTCGTCCTCGTTCGTACGGTTTGCGTCGAAGAGATAGCGTGCGATGTGGCGCTGTCAGCCCGCTTGTTACACGCTATCCCCCCACCTCGGGGATAGCGTGCACCGAGGAAGCCCTGGCAGGAGGATAGTGTGCACCAGGGGAACCCTGGCACGGGGGTAGCGTGCACCGAGGAAGCCTTGGTAGGGGGATACGTTAATATGACTCGTTCCTCGCCGTCTCCTGCCGCCGACCGCCGTTGGCCGCCGCTGGTCATCGCATGCTCCGCGGCTGTTTTGGGCTGCGAGTTAGTTGAAACAAGGGGTGCGCGCGCCTCCTTTTTTTTGCGCGCGCATATTTGCATGACTCTGCTTAACGGACATATTCACTAGCCATGTCGAGCTCAATGATCCAGCCTACTGAGGAGGTATCCCCCAACATGATAGTAGAACAAGCTAACGTACCGATCGTAATGTCATAATCTTTTGTTCCTCTGGCAACTAACTGGTTGTCAGCCGGAAGCCTTGGATCAGTTCATGATAATGGCTTGGCAAAGCAGCCACTTGGCAAACCAGCCTCGCCGACATATACAATTCATGTTGCCAATCAGCGTGCTTTCGATTCTCTTCTGCCGAATGAAGACCTCCCAGAATTCCATTTCTTCGGGTAGGACGGATTTAGTCAGCCCGAGTCCCATTGGCAGACCCGGGAGAGGAGACGCAACCACGAGAGATATGGATATCCATCGATAACTATTCGCGCTAACAGGGTCGGAAATCAGTTCGCCGAGTTCATTGTGGAACAGAGGGTCGCGCGACGCAGCGGCCGAACGTACTTGCTTGACCGGGAGTCCAAACGACGCTCGAAATATGGAATGAGAGACGAAGGGGGCGATATACACCTTAGGCGATGCTTAAGAAAACCTAAGTTTTCGGCCAGAGTCTCGATTATTCTTAACGTTTCAATGTAAATCTTAAGATTTTAACAGAAAGGTTGGGTTTTTATTCAAGTTCTGAGACTATGAATTTCTTAACCCATGATTTCTTAAGCATTTCGCAGGGTGTATTGGGGGTGGTCGAACCATTCCCCAAGGCATTTCGCCGCCTCTTTATTCAGATAGCAGAGGACGCTGAAATCTCTCAGTCTCTGGTTGACATGTTGAGCCCTCGTGAGCCTGAGTTGCCAGAGCATCCTGGGGGCCCTACAGGGAAACGCCGTGTCCGCAAAGACCGAAGGGCGATCCGAAGACACTATGGACTTGGATGGGTCACCAATGCAGATGTCTGGCTTCGCTGGGGGTCCAGCTACGGTGTCTCATTATGTCATCATTCGTCACGTTGAAGGCATGGATGAGGAGCTTTCTGACTTGATGGGCTCAATCTGTCAAGATCAAGAGACGGGGAATGTAGTGGATTGTCAGCAGGGGAGAATTGATGCGAACTGCGTGGTTCCTCCACCGACATCCCCCTTTCCAGTGAAACATGTGAACTTCGGGTCGCCTTTGATAGGCCGCACCGGGTCGAGGAGCAGTCGTGGTTCTAGCAGCCCTTCTAGGCATCCTCCTCCAACAGACTTTCGATTCTGGTGAGCTGCTTGGCCCGGGGACCTAACTGCCCAACGGCGGCGGAGAATCGGTGCCCAGGACAAGCTGGTGAGGAAGACGGCCCTTGTCGTAGGCCCGTGTGTGGTGCGTGTTCCGACACGTGCAAGCACTGCGGTGTCAGTTGGCTCTGCCTGGACTGATCCGATATGCAAGAGCATACTTGTCAGTGCATAGCAGCTCTTGCCTCGCAGGAGAAAGAGCAAGAAACGACTGCTGCGGGAGAAGAGTTGAATGATCAGGTGGTCGCCTAGATGAAGATTCAGATGGAAACGCTTCAGCGAGAAAGAAAATAACAGCTACATGCCATGCAAAGAAATAAAGCCTCTTGATGTTGATCGCACAATGCGCACACCTGAAGCAGCAGGCAACCTCTGAGGCAGGTAAACTGGCTCTGCAGGAAGCCGAGCGTGATAAGAAAGAGGCTGAGGAAGCAGCTAGGTTGGCAGTTGTGGAAGATATGGCGGAACAGATGGCTGAACCAAGGAAAGACGCATACAGCGTGAATTGCAAGAGCCCAGAGAGGCTGCATCGACTACCGAGCATAATGTGGCGGGGGTCATGGAAGGACGGCTCAGGCTGCTAACGTGGTGCAGCAAAAAAGGGAGCGAACACGTGCTGCAATCCAGCAAGAGTCGCTTGGGGAGCAAACCGCCACCGATGAATCGAGGGAAATCATCGAATACATGCGCAAATAGGAAAGCGTACGAAACAACTTGAACCTTCTTCAAACCGAATTCGCCCAGGAGTTCGTCGGGCTACATGGAAAACCCCAACCGTATCACAGGCTCAGCCTGTGGTGTCGGCACGTGTCGCTGCAGGCGCAAACAGAAATTCGGACCAAAATAACGAAAGGAACTTGCAAGGATAAAATAAACGCTTGATCGGAACCCCACATCAGCACGCGATTTCACCCTCGCAGAAGCAAGAAGCCAAAGGTTATACATCCCCTCCGACGTTGGGGAGTATGCTCGGCGGCATGCCCCATTGTCCCACAGAGGCACTTTGGTTTCAATTCCTGGCGTGCTCGCCAGGCCTGTTGACGGTGCAGCCCCCCAAAAGTGTGAAGACCTGGCTGGCTTCCCTTTGCGTGCGGTTGAACCGGGGGCGATGGGGGGGTGGGGGCGGTTCGATCCCGGTGGTGGGGATGAGGAGAGTAAAGACAACCGCAGTTCTCTCCGCGGTTCTGGCGATGGCCCGCCCGGTGGGTTCGGCGACGGGAGAGATGTTCCTCCGCCTCCGCCGCCGCCTGATCCTCTTGACCGCTGGCGACAGGCAGGTCGAGCGACAGAGATGAAATTGGGACCCGTCCCGGGCCCCATCAAGCTGAGAGCGTGTAAGTTGCGTGCTTCCTCAGCTTCGCCTGACGTCGCTTGTGCGCAGCCCTGGGTTATGGGGGCCGTGGATCCAAGTGTTCACGTTGCGAAGCTGATGGATTCAGGGCGTTGTGATCGCCTTGACACCTCGTTGCGTCAGATCTGACAAAGAAGTTCAATGGTGTGCGTCACAGGAGAGGCCTGCCTGCGCAGCAAGTCCACCTGGTTGCGCAGCTGCACAGGATTGGGCAACATGCCCAGAACAAAATTCGGTTGCTGACGGGCCGTGAACATGATTCGTGCCAGATGTGTTTGGGATTATCCTGTCGGAGCATGGCCAGCCTCATATATGTCGCGACATCCTTAAGATCGTCGTGGATAAAATGCAAACCAGACCAAGGTCTGTTCTATTTCTATCCGGAATGGATCGCCGTGCGTCGTGAAATGCAGGGTGGCAAGTCGCCCTCCCGTGAGATGGTTGCTGCCATCTATGAACACTTCTCCGAGCAAATGAAGAATGCGCCTGAGATGATGACCGCGCTTGATTGGTATGATTTTCCAACGTGAAATTGGCTACGAGTTTCGGACTTGCGACTGGTTGATTGCCCAGTTGCAGAAGCCAAAGGACCGCGAACGTGGGGGCTGTGATCTCGACTCCCGAATGATGACGTTGAATCTGCGTGGGCTGTGGGGGCGCGAGAAGGCTGGCGAAGCTGCGCTGGGGGCTGCCACGGGCTCGACTTCGCGGGGAAAATGGACAGACCGCGTCCGTGGCTGACGCGAGAAGGAGGAGGTTTCGTGCAATTATGTGGCCCATGGGAAATCCATCCCGAACCGAAGCAAAGGCTGCCCCTGCAGTCGTGGGAAGCCTGAGGCTGCGCTGGCTGAGCGGGCGCTGACCCGTCGCAAGGCGGGCGCCGCCCCCGCGGGCGACTCGGGGGAACGGGGTCGTTCCAGGAGGCGGGGCGAGGGAGAAGGGCGGAGCCGATCCGCCGCCCCTTGACCATCCGAGCCCCGACGGCCCCGACCATCCCAGGGCCCCTCGCGTGAGAAGCATTCCGAAGTGGTGCGTTTCGCTTTTCTTCGTGGAAAATGTGACGGGCCGAAGCGCAACCCTCTCGTTTTGCGGGCAGCGCTGGGGATTGACTGATGCTGAGAAGCTGGAGAGAGAGAGAGAGAGAGAGAGAGAGAGAGAGAGAGAGGGAGAGAGAGAGAGAGAGAGAGAAAGAGAGAGTCAGAGACAGAGAGAGATAGAGGAATGCAGATGAATGGGAGGACTCGTTGACCGAGGCGGGGCGAGGCGCGGGGTGCGAGCGCGTTCAGAGGCAAGCCAGCTCCGCCGCCGCCAATGGCAAGTGCCGCCCCTGGGTCTGACGCTGGCAGCCAGAGTGGCAGTCGGAAAGGAGGGGGGGGACAATCGCAGAGGCAGCGGGAAGGGCGCGGCGCCTTGCTGGCATTGGTAGGAGGATTTAAAGCGTCCTTTTGGTTCTCGCTGTAAATGTCGTGCCAACGCCCCAGGACATGAGTGGCGAGCGCCCCGGGGATCGGTGGCTCAGCCATCGGTCTCATTGGTGGGGTGCCGAGTTTCTCTTTGCTTCGTGCGCTTGTGATTGTCTTTCCATTATTGAAGACAGTCGTTGTCCCGCAGTTCCGTGGTCGGCTGAACCGTCTGCGTGAAAGGAGGGATCAACAACTTCATGGGGCCCCGCACAATCCGCGATGCAGCATGTGATTCTGTTTTCGCTATTCTGGCCAATGGCGTGGTGAAGGGGAATATCAGCCAGCGTCGACTCCAAATAGATGTGACGACTCAAATCAAGGAATCAGAGGAATCAAGCATGCTTGGAATCTGCAACTCAGCAAGCAAGCAAGCGTGCAAGCAAGCGCGCAAGCAAGCGCGCGATCAAGCAAGCAAGCAAGCAAGCAAGCAAGCAAGCAAGCAAGCAAGCAAGCAAGCAAGCAAACGGGCATAGGCAAAGGCGTCGGCATAGGAGTTAGGGGGGAGGCACAGGCATACGCATAGGCATAGCCATGGGAATTGGGGGGGGGCATAGGAATCAAGGGGGGGGGGAACGGACCAATTAGTAGGGTTCGAGCTAGGACCCCTGTAGGGCAAGCCCATCTTTGAGAGAACGGATGAAACGCTCGTTGGTCAGGGCCTTGCTGCGTGGCTCGCTCCGATGAGAGCCGGCTGCCCGTTGCGAGCCTCCAGTGGGGTCGATTTCGCGACAATTTTTCAACGATCGCGGGCCAAAGAGAGCCCCTTTCCATACATCGGGAAAGTTGATCGCGTGGCTGACTCTGTACTTGCCACCGCGTTAGACGTGGGTGACAAAGAGGATCATTCTCTTGCCATTTTGAACGCTTTACTTCCTCGGGCTGCCATTAAGGTCATGTGTGACGAGGCCTCTGAAGCTAGGTGCGTGGAGGCAGAACGTTCTGTCGCGCGTGGTTTATCTGCTCGGTTTCATCCATCGACCAGAGAACCCGCCGTTACACTGTGGAAGGTTCCTCGCCACAGCCCTGAGGAGCTGCCGTCGTGTTCTGGAGACTGATGGGAATTTCATTGAAACCCTTGGATCTCGACTATGAGTGTTGGCATACCTGGCTCGAATGGGAATCCGAATCTGAGAAAGAGTCCGCCCGAAGTGCCCCAGCCGCTGCGAGCCACAGAGTTCCTGACTCTGTTCGGTTCGGTTCGATGCTTTTCATCACTGACGCAGGGGGCGTCTTCAACCTCATAGCAGAGGAATCCATTAGGAGTGCCGGCGCTATGGGTAAGACTCGGAGGCAGTCTTCGGGAATTACCTTGAACACCTGCCGGGAGTGCTGGTAAGGCCCTAGGTATAGGTAGCGTAACATGCCCCACATTCAAAGGTGGTGAATTTGAAGGTCTGGTCATGCCAGAGATCCCGAGCGCTATTTCTGTTGGGGGGCGGTGTCTTGATCGCGGCTTGAATTCGCAACCATCCTGTGGTTTTGGGTCCTCGTTTTGAAGAGACAGTCCCCGCGTCCCCCTCTCCTCCTCCTCCTCCTCCTCCTCCTCCTCCTCCTCCTCCTCCTCCTCCTCCTCCTCCTCTTTCTCCTCCTCCTCGTCCTCTTTCTCTTCCTCCTCCTCCTCCTCCTCCTCCTTCTCCCCCCCCTGGCTCCTCCCTCCTCTCGTCGCCCCCTTCACGTTGGCACGCCCGTTGGCTGTCTTCTGTTTCATTTTGGCACAATCCGTTCTGGCAACCTCCGCGCCCCATGCGGGCTACCCCACCGGCGGCGCTCTCTTCGCCCATTTCTCGGCTCCGTCGGGAGCTTCACTGATGGCGGTTCTCACGCCGCCGGTGCCAGCAACTGCGCAAGGTTGGGTCCTTCGCCGGGATCTGTTTTCTTAGCCTGCGAGCCAAACCCCCTGCTTTGTTGCCCAGCGGTAACCGAGTGAACCAGACCGTTGAGGGCGCAATGCCATACTTGGCCCTTTTGGGCAGAGAAGCGCTGGGTCAGTGGAGCTGTGCAGTTGCCCAGGGAGCCGCTGTTCTCGAGAGGTGGTGCTGTGTGGTGAGAGTCGCCGAGGAATTTTTGGATGACGTGGAGTATGTGGGAGGTCCTCCACCCTGCTCCATCCAAACCCACACGACCATTAGCAGGCGCGCGCGAGAGTTGATCGCCTTTCGCAGTTGCGAGAGTGGTCGGCCGACTCAGTCGGTCGACGCATCGCCGTTCGAAGTAGATTTTGTGGTTTCCCCTCAAGTTGCTCGCAATCTCGGTTGGAAGTCTTGTGCGACCGGGATTGTGAACAGAGCGTCGTCGTCGCCGACTCAGTCGGGGGCGTTCGGGGCAGGCAAGTGATCTGCTAGTGTGGAGGAGTCTCCGGAGTCTACGTTGCGATTTGGATTGGACGTTCTGATTCCACCCCTGCAACCAACGTCCCTGATGCCGGCGATGCGGGCGGCCCAGGCGGTGTCGACTTACTCAGTATCGACGGGCCGCCTGCCGATCCAGAATATGTGGGCGTCGAGATGACGAGTCTTGAGCGTTTTAAACAGGACGCAGTCTCCGTGTCACACCTGTTCACCCTTCTCCCCCAAAACTCGTATTGCCAGACGTGTAATTTGTTTCAGATTCTGCGGAAACAGCAGGGGAAGAGTAACAACAAAGGGGTAAAGGTTTCTGGGCTGTAGTCAGATTACTACGGTGGATCGCGGGTTTGCGACTGATGAGCATTTGCAGGGGCTCCGCGGGCAAACTGCGTGCGCAGGGTTTGGCGGTCCGTTTGCGAATTTCATCGCTGCGCAGGGCGTTCGCGACATGTCGGCAACACATGTTTGCAAGTATTTAGTTAATCATAGGGCCCCACGGAGGGTTTTGAAGTGCTGCTACACGGTTTACGATAAAACAGTTTGCGCTAGCTTATCGGGAACTTGTAATCGCACACGTGATGTTACCATTCCTGGTAATAGAAAACTTGTGGCCTTCGCTGAACGTTCGAACGGTATCATGCAGATTGGAACCCGCGTTCTCTTGGCTGCAGCGGGTCTCCCGCCGTGGTTCTGGACGCATGCCGTAAGATGTTACCGTCTTTGCCACAATGCACGGCAAGACAAAGAGGGGGCATCACGTTGGTAAGCTCGTTTTGGTTCGTCGTTTTATTCCTCATTTTTGCCCCTCGGTTCCTGTGTCGGGATGCCGTGCGGCCAAGGCTGGGGCCAGTACGGTTTTAGGAATCTTTCTGGGGTGCGCCCGCAAAGCGGGTGGTGGTGGTTAGGCCCGAGAGTTACGTTGCGCTCCTTGTTTCTTTCGAGAGCTTGAGCATGGCGACTGGTAAACGGCCTGGCGGTGCTGGGCCCGTCGTTGAACAATCGGGGCAGGTTTGCAGTGATGTCATTGACGACCATTATGATTTTCAACGCGCGTGCTCAGTTCGTCACTTTTTTTTGCATGGTGTTTTTGAAAACTGATGATTTGTGATCGACGAGTGTCCACGAATTACATGGTCTGCAGAGGATGAAGGGAGACCGATCAGGGACTGCTTGGGATGGTCCGAATCCATATTTCGGATGGGTGATAGGGGCAGAAACATGTATGTATATATGTGTATCTAATGTATATGTTGCGTACTCTTATCTATACACATACATTTTGTAATACTAGAAAGCTGGTCGCTAAATCCGGGGAGGTGGGGAGGCACATCGATATATTTTCAGACAGGAGAACATATGTTGCGCGACGTATGTGGTGCCGTATATGCGCTGCGATCGATGCTGTACAGTATATGTGTTGCGATGCATTCTGTGCCGTATAGGTGGTGCAATATATGTTGTGTAATCCATGTGGTGTAGTTTATGTGATGCTTCGCATGCGACGCAATCTATGTGGGGCAATTGTGCGAGGCCGCGATGGGGCGGCGACAAGTCGGCGACGGCGATAACATAGTCGCCAGACCGCCACACAGATCCAGACGACGGGTGGCGGCGACGAGGCGGCGAAGGGGCGGTGACGGCGGCCACATAGCCGCCAAACCGCCACACATACCCAGACGCCGTAGCCATTTTGGCTCAAATTCCCAACCCCTTTCGGTGGGTTGGGAGCTTGCCGTGGCCATCGTGGGTCACTGGCGCCGCCCGCGCGGGGTCTCCTTCTGGGCGCGGGGCGGCGGTGGGGCCGCGGGGCGCGGCGCGCGGGGGTTGTCCTCCCCCCCCCTTGCTTCCATGGGCCGCCTTGCTGGTGGCCCGGTTGCGGCCTGGCTGGGGCCAAGCGGCGAGCAGGTCGGGTACCTCGTGGAGGTGGCGGTGCGCGCGGCGGTGGTGGCAGGCGCCACGCCGCAGGTTGCAGCTGCTGACGGAGGTGCGGCGGTGGAGGCAGCGCTCCGCCAGGCGGGTTCCGCCGGGCGCGCCGCCCAGCAGGTGCCTGAAGCTCCCAGGGCGGGGAATGCGTCGTCGGTGGGCGGCCATGCAGCGGCTGCTGTGGGGAAGGGCGACGAGACGCTGTGCAAGCCGCCCGAGGGCGGCGAGGGGGCCCAGGACGAGTACGACATTGGCTCGGTGATCGCGTCGGTGGACTCCGACTGGGAACGCAGGGACGTATCTTACGAGGCCCTGACGGAGGTGCGCAGCCTCCAGCAGGAGCGCGACGAGGCGCTCGACCTGGCGTCCGAGCTTGCCGAGGAGTGCATGGAGCTGCGGGCGTTGGCTTGGCAGGGCAGGTCACTGGCTCCCGTGGACCACGGCGGGCTCCTCGCGGTGCAGGCCGAGGCCGAGGCCGACGGCATCTAGGCCGAGGCAGAGAGCGGGGACCGTGGCGGCCGCCGACGTGGTGGCGCTTTGTGGGCGGCGCCTGGCGCGCGGACCAGGGCCCTGCCGCGGGAGCTGCGCGCCCATGGGAGGCGCGGCGGTGGGCCGGCATGTGGACGGCGACGTTGGCAGGGTGAACGACTTGGTGAAGCAGGTGTTCGTAGTCGACGGCGAGACTGACGAGGAGGCCGACGGCGCCCAGGCGGCTGCAGAGTCGGGGAGCGAGTTCGTGCCAGGGGAGCCCGAGGCCTATGAAAGTGCAAGGGCAGACCCTGATGCCGCTGCGCCCGAGAGACCGTCCTCGGAAGGCAGCGATGGCGTGGCGGCAGCCAGCGAGGCGAGCATCGTGGCCGAGGTTCGAGCCGCAGGAAAGGGCAAGAGCGAGCATCGCAGGCGCTGGGCCGATGACTTGGACGACCAGGTCGACGGCTGCATTGTGCCGCTGGCTGCCAGCAGTGCCAGCGTCGCCGGCGTTGGCCAGCGGGCTGGACGGCGAGCGCGTGCCCCCCACGCGTCGCAGAACCAGGCCGCGTGCCAGAGGGCGGCGGACGCGATGGCCGAGCGGAGGCTCGCCGGCGACGCCCTCGTGGAGCTGCCGCCAAAGGCCGCGCGAGGCGCGGCCGTGCGGGAAGGGCGCTGCGCGGTGCCCGGGGGCCTTGTTCTCGTGCCGCCCGACGCGGAGGGCCCGCTTGACGAACCGAGGGGGCCGACCTGGGGCAAGGAGCCGCCCGTGCGGGGCCATCCCCAAGGCGAGCAGTGGGCCCGCCTGGCAGCCAGGTACAGCAGGGTGCGACTGGGGCCCATGCACCACCGGGTCCTGGGAGCGACGCTGCAGAGTCTGTTGGGGGCCCAGACGGGGACCAAGGAGCAGATCGAGCAGCGCCTTCTCTGCCTCGAGGGGTTCGTGCAGGCTCCTGAGGACACAGCAATGAGAATACATTCCACTTGGCGTGTGAACTGAGCGTGGTTGAGGTGAGCAGAGGTCTGCAGTGCATCTTGCATCCTGTGAGACCGTTATGGATGGCGAGCTTCTGTGTCGCAGCAGTGTGTGCTCGCAGATCTAAGCTATTTGTTGGCTCTTGTATTGCCACCGTCATAATAATCTCAACGCTGCGCGTTCTGCTTGGCACTCAAACTAGTGGCGGAAGATGGCCGAGGTTGTGGTTGGGCTTGCGAGGGAGCCTACAGACCGCGAGGGCGGGCGCGCCGAGCCCGTCTCTGTGGTCCGTGGGAAACAAAAAACACACAGACCCCTCCTCCTCCTCCTCCTCCTCCTCCTCCTCCTCCTCCTCCAGGCTGTCCCCTCCACACGACGGACGGCGACGAGGCGGCGACGGGGCGGCGACGGCGGCCACGTAGCCGCCATACCGAAGACGCGGCCCAGTTCCTTGAAACAGAGGTAAAGACCCCTGAGTGCAAACACTGCTGGGGGAATCTGTGCGTATGTCTGTTTTCCTCCCCGCCGCAGTTGGCACAGCGTGGCATTGGGGTGTGCCTCTGGGTGCCTCGCCCGCCGCGCAGAGTGGTTGCGGATTGTACTTGCGGGATCTTCGGCCTTTTGCGTGGATCGACTTGTTGCCCCCTTTTATCCCCTGCAGCTGCCCTTCCTCCTCTTCCTCCTGTTCCTCCTTTGCGTGCGTTGTGTGTTGGTATAAATGGCTGGCAAAACATCGGGGATGCCCACGCAACGCGTTTGTCTTTCTCCCCTTTTCGTCCCTCTCCTGGGTCCTCGGTTCCTCCGCTTCCTCCTCCTCCTCCTACCCGTGCTCCCTCCTCTGCGTGTTTCAATCGCACTCGCTGTCTTGCACTGCGTCTGGATTTCAGTTTATTTTAATGTGCCGCCTTGCCTGAGGGGTTGTATCATCTGACAAATTACGTATGTGTATATTAGACAGATGTGTTCATCGTCCTCGTCCTCCCGATCTTCTTCGAACGTGCAGAGCTCGATGCTGTGCCATCTTGCGCTACGAGAAGGCAGCTGTAATCAAGGCGCGAGCTGTGAAAAAACGTGGTGGAGGCAGTCGGTGGTCAGTGCTCTCTGGGCTACTCCACTTCTGCTGTTCTCTCTCTCTCTCTCTCTCTCTCTCTTTGCTGCCGATTTATTGGTGCTTCCACATGCAGGGCTTCCCTGCTGTGTTCAGTTGCTTTCTGGTGACCTATCGGACGTGGCAGCCCGGGCTGATCAACGTCGGGGCGATCAAAAGGAGGAGGGAGAGCACTTGGGCCACCACTCCCTAGATCTCTTCGCCCTTTGTAGAGGCCGTGGCCGACCTCGCCTCCTCGCTGCAGTCGGCGCGCTTCCTGGAGGGTGCAGCCCGCGAGGCGCTGACGCTGAAGGAGGGCCACTTCCGAGCCTCCTTGCAAGCGACCACTTGTGAAACCTACCCCTGCGGGTCCAGTCGACGCTGGGACATCGGGCACCCCCGCTGGGGTTCACTAGGCTGCAGACGTCCCTCGACTTCTGAGCCCCCCGGCTGGTCTTTCGGGAATCTGACCTGCACGGGAAGGTTGCACATGTGTCGGGCGAAGAGAACTATGCACATGCACCGATCCTGGCAAGGCCCACCCTTGACCCAGGATCGGTGCATATGCCTTCCTGGCCAAGGCAGGAGGGCGTATGCACCGATCCTGGGCTCAGGATGGGCCTGGCCAGGATCGGTGTATGTGCATAGTTCTTTTTCCTCTAATGTGGATGGCCACTCCTCCTCCTCCGCCCACCTGCCCCCAGTGTCCCTCTCGCCGCAGCCGCCGTCGCCGCCGCCCGTCGTCGTCGTCTTCGTCGTCGTCGTCGTCGCCGCCGCAGTCGTCGTCGTCGTCGTCGTCGTCGTCGTCGTCGTCGTCGTCGTCGTCGTCGTCGTCGTCGTCGTCGTCGTCGTCTTCGTCGTCGTCGTCGTCGCCGTCGGTGGTCGCGTCGCCGCGGGAGTGTCGCCGTCGTCGCTGTCGTCGTCGTCGTCGTTGTTGTCGTTGTCGCTGGCGACCGACTGCTTCTCCTCGCAGCCCACACGTGGACGCGCTCAGTGCCAACCTGGACTCCTAGAATCCTTCCCCCCGCTGCCCTTCCCAGCTTCCCGCTTCCTCCCCCCCTCCCCTTTTTTTGCGAGGTGCCTCGGAGGCCCTGGAGAATACCGTTGAAACCCTTGGAGGCCACCTGGAGGCGCCCACATCTGGATGCTCCTCCCAGACATCCCTGTACAGTCAACTATGATAGTAACGATGGGGCGACTTTCCAAGGCTACCCTTGCATCCTTGCCCCTCCTGTATTCGGCATCCTTCGGCATTCTGCTGCGCTCCGAACGGAACACGTCAATATGGCGTTCCAAGGCCCTTGCATCCTTACCGCGCATCCTTACTATCCCGGTCGAGTGTACACTCCTTGCCTCCTTGGAAGCCCCGGAGGGCAGCGCATTCAGTCCCACAAGTCCGGCTGCCGATCGCCCGCGGCCTCACGCCGCCTGCCAGCTTGCCAGGCCCGACAGGAGGCGGGAAAGGTTTCCGAGGGGCCAGCTCTTCAACTCACTCGGATGCATCTCCTGGGAGCTTCAGTTCTGTATCGGCGCTGGTATTTTCGCGGTCGCGACCAGGCTTAGTTAGTTTGGGTTAATCTGGCTTGACCTGGCTAAATGCCGCCCAATCCCGCAAAATCCAGTGCAATCTGGCTTAATCCTGGGTTTGATCCGGTCTAATCCAGTGAAGTCGCTCCTTAATCGGGCTTGGTAAACCTTAAAGCTAATCGTACCCACGACTCCCAGGGGTTGCCTCCTAACACTCACCCCGGCCCTGGGCAGTTTCCCCCCTCACGCCAACGTGCTAATACTATGTGTGCGTCGTCCCTCCAGGGGCGACGCGCGCGCCGAGCAATCTTATAGCATGTGCTCGTTGGCGGGCGATTTCTGGCCGTACCGCTCGGGGAGCGATACCCCTCAACACGGTTGTGCTATAGGTTCAGGTCGGACGCACGCCTCCAAGGGAGACACGCAGTACAGTCAACCATGATCGTAAGGATGGCGCAGCTTTCCAAGGCTGCCCTCGCATCCTCCGGCATCCTGCCGCGCTCCGCACGGAACACGTCACCACGGCGTTCCGAGGCCCTTGCGTCCTCACCGCGCGTCCTCCCTCTCCTGGCCGGGTGTGCCAGCGCCTGCCCTTGTGCGGCCCACTCACGTCTCCTCTGGGGAGGAGGAGGAGGAGGAGGAGGAGGAGGAGGAGGAGGAGGAGGAGGAGGAGGAGGAGGAGGAGGAGGAGGAGGAGGAGGAGGAGGAGCTGGGCCAGGAGGGGCGCAGCTCAGCGTCTGACGGGCCTGGCCGCCCCCGGCGGGCAGGCGTTGGCGGGTTCGCGCGGCGGCGCCCTGCTGCCCGAGAGCCTCCGCGTGGCCAGGAGGCTCAAGAGCGCTCGCCCGAGCACCTCTTCGCAGGCCGAGAGGTGGACACCGACGCCGGGATCGGCGGGGTGCCTCCACCGAGGGAAGACGATCCCGATCTCGGTGGTGGTGGCAGTCTTCTGGCTTCCAAGGTGACCTAAATATTACCACCACCACCGACCTCTAGGATCATATGCCCCGTGTGGAGGCAACCCCCTGTGCTGGAGCTGGTGCCAATTTCCAGGCCTCCAACCTCTGGAGAGACGCCTGTGTGTGAGCTGTGGTCCAACTCTTGGCGTACGCTAAGCACGCCAAAGAAGTCAGCGGAGGGAAAGTTAACCACATCGCCACCCTTCCCTCGTTTTCGCCCTTTGGGCCTCCTGGGAGGCCCTCGTCGCCACCGCTGGATTCGCCTCGACATCCTGGTCAGACCGCACCCCGGGAGAGGTCCGGGGAGTAGCGGCACCGGTACCTTTTGGTTTCCCCAGCTGGCTTGGCATCGCTCGGATGTGTGCATTTTATCCTCAGCGAGGATCATCGAGGAGCATCCTTGATCATCGAGCCAAACACCACGCACGGAGCCGAAACATCCAGGGGCATGGACATGGACGTCCGAGCGATGGCAAGCTGGTGCCCCACAATGATGTCCTCTCCCGATGGGGGCGCAGAGCCCACGGCGACACTGCGGAGCCCAGCGTCAACAAAGGACGTGCCTCCAAATTTCTTCCAGCAGGCTCGTGTATCGTACGGTCTGCCCGAGGTACACTGAAGGTCGAGGTCGGTTCGAGGCGGGTGCCCTGATGTTCTTCGTGCTGGTTGGGAGGGTACCCTTGGCTCTTCTTTGTGCTTCTCGTGCTCGTCTGGCTACGTTTGGCATTCTTTTGACTGTTTGTGCTCTTTCTTCCCAGCTCCGCGTGCAGGAGGACGTGTGCCCGACCCGATCCCAGGCCCGGCCCCGTGTGCCTGCTGCAGCAGGGTGCTCGGAACGTGCGGGCCGCGCGGCGCTCCCGGGGCGTGAGCGGGGCCGCGCCCCGGGCGCGGGCGCCCGACGCCTGCCCGCCCTCCCGGCCCTCCCCTGCCCTGTGCCGCCGCCTGTCGTCTCGTCTGTCGTCCGTCGCTCGTCTTGGCGTGGCTCGGACGTGTGCACCTCGTCTCGGCGAGGATCATCGAGGAGCATTTCTCGTGCACCTTGCGAACGAAGAAGCACACGCACGACACCGACAAGTGCACAGGGAGTGGACGTCCGAGCGACGGCGCGTCGCCGAGTCGTGTCGTGCCTTGGGGCCCCGTCTGCACTGGGTAGAACATGTGCGGGCCGTGCGGGGGAAAGCTGGCCCCCACCAGCCAGCCCCTTCCTGCGCCCTCTCCCCAGGAGCTGGAGTGCGGCATCTGCCTGCAGCCGATGAAGGAGCGGCACGCTCCAGCGGCGCGGGGAGCCAGAGGGGAGCGGAGCGGAGCGGAGGGGCACAGACCGCAGCTCAATGGGCGAAACACCTGTCCGTAGGTGCGGCCTCGCGGGCCGCGCCGCGACGCCGCGGGTACGAGGCGTTGTTGTCGCGGATGCCGCGCGCGGAGGGCATCCGTGCGACCGCGCATCCGCGAGATCGCGCCCCGGGAGCGCAGACCGCCGAGGGCGTGGAGAGACGGACGTGTGCACCCGTCGGTGCGCAGCGGGAGGAGCGCCCAGGAGAGCGCGCGGAGCTCGGACGGATGAAGGATCCTGCCCCTCCTCCTCCTCCTCCTCCTCCTCCTCCTCCTCCTCCTCCTCCTCTCCCTCCTCCCCTCCTCCTCCACCTCCTCTTCCTCCTCATCCTCGCCCTCGCCCTCGCAGACCACGGGCAAATCCTTATGTTTCTTGATTTAGCCATCCATCACATCATTGCTTGAACCTTCTCCCCTCCCCCGCCTTCTTTCCGCCATCGGGGGAAGTTCGAGGTGGTCGCCGGGGGCCGTCTCCTGGGGCGGCAACGAGCAATGAGGTAATGCAAGACGATCTGCCACATCGCGGTTAGTCAGGGGGCCTACTGTGGAAGTCGGTGCAAATCAAAACCCTCGCGCAAACGCTCTAAGGAGCCTCTAGAGTGATCCTTTCTCCATCCCCTCATGCTGCGTTCTCCCGCACCCCTGCCTCACTTTCTCACCTAGGTCGGCTTACTTTTTTCCGCATGCAGTTTCCACGTTTGTATTCTGCAATGGGAGCATAGCGGGAGCATGCGACGCATAGCGGGAGCATGCAACACACAGCGCCCCCACCCCAAGCGCACCCCCTGCGGCGTCGAGGAAATGCCACCCCTGCCACGCCCTTAGGGGCCTGCAACGCACAGCGCCCCCGCCCCCAGGGCCCCCCCCTGTGGCGCCGAGAAAATACTACCCCTGCCACGCCCTGGGGGCCTGCAGCGCATAGTGCCCACACCCCCAGCGCACCCCCTGTGGCGCCGAGGAAATGCCACGCCTGTCACGCCCTGGGGGCCTGCAACGCACAGCGCCCCCGCCCCCAGCGCCCCCCCTGTAGCGTCGAGGAAATGCCACGCCTGTCACGCCCTGCGAGCCTGCAACGTATAGCGCCCCCACCCCCAGAGCACCCCTTATGGCGTCGAGAATATGCCACGCCTGCGATGCCCTGGGCGACCGTGCGCATACGTCTTGGGTGTATGATGCTGTGCGCCTGCCACGCCTGCCACGCCCTGCGAATCTTGAGCGCATGTGTTTCGCGTGTGTATGCGTGCGGCTGTATGCAGAACGCGTGTCTCACGTACGTGCCGCGCATGTGTTGCGCCTGGGTGAGGCGAGGAAGAGGAGGAGAGGAAGAGGAGGAGGGGACGAGGGAGGTGTGTGTGGGAGGAGACGCGGTTGCGACGCGGCAGGGAAGAACGCCATAACCCCACTAAGCATGTGGAGAAACATCCGAAGGACAATCAATGGTTTTGGTCTCTCGGGGCCTCTTGGGAAGGCTCTTGGGGCTCTTGTGAGGCGTCTCGGAGGCCGCTTGGGCCGTCTTGGGGCCATCTTGGGCGTCTTGGTGCGATCTCTGGGCGTCTCGAAGCCCTTTTGGACCGTCTTGGGGGCCTCTTGGGGCCCTCTTGGCCTTTCTTGGGGCCACCTTGGGCCCGAGCAAGTCACGCTGCAAGATGCGGGAAGCCTCCGACAAGCCGCAGGAAGCCCAAGAACATTTGGCAAGTTGGGTTCTGGGACGTGAGGGCACGCCCACTCCATGCCCAAAGGCACGGTGGCGGACTGATGTCACGGTAGGCCATGACGGATGGATGCGGAAGATGCCAGGAGGGTGTGCGCTCTTAGGATTGCCCCCGGCCGTGCTGCGCCTGCTCGTTTAGGGAGCTAGGAGAGGCCGCCTCGGGCTTCGAGCCCCGCGGTTTCCTGCCCGCCCCAGGAAAGCAATAGATGAAGCCCTGGGGTATTCTTGGAAGACAGGGGGGCTTCTCAGAAGCCTCCCTGTCTTCGCAGAAGCCGTAACAGCGCTCTGGCGGTTGGGAATTTTGGCTTAGCGCGTTGCTCCGCTGGTTCTGGCCCACCACGCTTCGGCGCGACACGCTAACCACTTCCCCATTTCCTAAGCGTCACGTCCCGAGCTTTTCCCAGCCTCCCGCCCCGCGGTGCGGAAGGACGCGCTACCCGCTCGCAAGGAATAGTTGGCTTGTCATCGGAACCGCCGCTACGACATGCTGAGCAACAATTCCCGACTGTCTGTCTATGCCGAATTTTGTGCTTCTCGACCCCCTATCCCAATCCCGCTCCCGATCCCCGCCCTGCCCCGCCCTCGCCCCCCTCCCCCTCCCTGCGACGCCGCTGGGTTCCTTTCCATTTCGCTCGGCTTCGTTCTCTCCCCTTTCTCCTCTCCGTTGTCCCGGCTTGTCCCGTCCCGTCCCTATCCCATCTCCGTCCCGTCCCGTTGTCCTGGCTTGTCCCGTCCCGTCCCTATCCCATCTCCGTTGTCCTGGCTTGTCCCGTCCCGTCCTGGCTTGTCCCGTCCCGTCCCGTCCCGTCCGTTGTCCTGGCTTGTCCCGTCCCTGGCTTGTCCCGTCCCGTCCCGCCCCCGTCCTCTCTCCTGCTTGCCAAGGCGCCACGGATGACGCCCTGCGCCCACACGTTCTGCAAGGCTTGCATCGAGCGCAGCATCGGATCCAAGGCTGGGCGGCACGGGGTGCATCCCTGGTGCCTGGGGTTGCGTTTGGGGAGCGCGTGCCCAGATCTCTAGTGCTGGCGCAAGGATAGGTTGAGCAAACAAAATCGATCGGTTGGGGGTTGATGCGGTTCTTCGCGTGTGCTTTGTGCGTGTCACAATTCTGTGTCCACCTGCTCACCCTTCTCCGCATCCTGCGAAGATCTGACGTCTGGGATGCGTGCATTCAGAATGCGTTTCATGCTTGCAGCCGCTCGGAAGACAACAGCGCACTGCGCAGGTGGACACCTGAACCATACCTCCCACCAGTCGCGTATCCTGCATGACCCTCCTGTTTATCATTGCCTGCGCGTAGTTTTCGCGAATTTGTAGTGGCAGCTTACTTGTAACTGCCCCAAGCGAACAGTTGTCTTGCCGTTTCTCACATACTGGCATGAGTGCGATGTCTTGCCACAGTGTCGACCCTCTTAGCCTGTGTCGGCCATCATGTCATCCTCCTCTGCTTCTGGCTGTCGCGATGCGGGGATGTTTCGATGGTGTCCTGATGCCACATCGACGGTCTGTTGATGCTGTTCTCTTATGAACACCATGGTGTCCCGATCGTGTCCTAAGTGCGTATCGACCATGTCCCGATGGTGTGCTGATTCGTAGTCGTAATCGGTTATGTCCCGATGCTGGCACGATTGATGATCCATTGTTCTCTGACGGTTTCCCTGTGGTGGCCTGGCCCACTGTCCGACGTGCGGCCAGCCAGGCCACGCATCGCTCTCCTCTCTTTTCCACTCTCCTCTCTCCTCCCTCCTTGGTCGCTCTGCTGTCGCTGTCATCTCGTGCGGCGTGCCCAGCTGTCTCACGTCACGGCGGCCATTTTGCTGTGCATGTGTTGCGTTTTTGTTACGATTCGTTGCGAAAGCCGTGGGTGCATTGGTGGCGTCTCGATTGATTTCGGACTGTGTCTGGACGGTTTTCCGATCTGTTGTCGACGGTGTATTGGTGGCATTTCGATCATGCCCTTTGGACTAGTACAGCAATGTGGCACCAGTACGTGGACCCCGAACAGTGACTCAGCGCAGCATCTGGTGATCATCCTGCCATGTGCAGTCGCGAAGGCACCGTTGGTGCGGCGAGCTATATCGACCCACCGTAGAGCTCCACAGGGTACTGACCACAGGCCACCAGCCAGAGGGGACCAACCAATTGGCGCCAACCATTGGGCACCAACCATAGGGCGCCTCTTGGAGCCGACCATGGGGCACCCACCGGGAACGGCTGACAGCGACGTGCAGGCCCCGCCGCACCCAGCGGAAACGGCAGAGCAACGATTGGGGACGGCGACGGCGGCTCGCCCGGCACGGTGCACCGAGCGGGAGCCATAGGGCGCCGACGGGGAGCCGCCGACTGTGGCACACAGGCTCAGTTCCTCAAGACCCAAGTCAGAGACCCTGAGTGCGAGCACAGGTTGGGGAACAACAAAGTACACAGAGGGACGTACATTCGATAGCTGTTTTAAGAGGAAGTGCCGGCATAGTATATGTTACTAGCCAGCATCGACCTCAAACAGTGCGTCATTGCACGGTGGAGGTGAAAGCTATGTGGTGAAAGCTATGTTTCCGGATAGCTCCTTGAGAGGGCTGTACGGCTTAAGAGAGTCAACCAGCAGGCAGGGCTAGACCAGCGTCCTTTCCACGGTTGGCGGTCAGGAAGTGCCGCAGCGCCTTCTTGGAGGTGGCAGGTTGTCCCCCCAAGCGCCTTGCTACTCGTTCCAAATACGTGCGCCGCAAGCGTTCGCGCAGCTCCTGCGCAGCGCTTCTTGCGCTCTTGCGCAGGTCCTGGGCAGCTCCTGGGCAGTGCTCCATCTCCTTGCCAGCGCCAAGGCAACTAGCTCCTGGGCAACTAGCTTCCTGGGATGGCTGGCCGCGCCTGGGCAACTCCTGGGCAGCGCTGCCTGGGCTCGTGGGCAGCGCCGGGCAGCTCCCGGGCAACGCTCTCCAGGCTCGTGGGACGGCAGCTCCGAGGCAGGGCTTCCTACACCCTAGGCGATGCTTAAGAAAACCTAAGTTTTCGTCCAGAGTCTCGATTATTCTTAACTTTTCAATGTAAATCCCAAGATTTTGATAGAAGTTCTGGGTTTCATTCAATTTCTGAGACTATGAATTTCTTAACCCATGATTTCTTAAGCATTTCGCATGGTGTAGGCTCGTGGGCAGCGCCCGGGCAGCTCTCTCAGGCATCCCGGGCCGCGCTTCCCGGGCCAGTCGGAAGGGTCAGGCAGCCTCGCCGACGTGCCTGCGCTCTCGCGCTGGTGCGCTCGCGTGCTCGTGCACGCGCGATGGTGCGCCCGCGCGCTCTGCGCCCCGCCTGCGCGCCTGCCCGCTCCGCCTGCACGTCCGTCGGTTTGCGCGCCGCCCGCGCTGCGCCGGTGGGCCCGGAGGCCAGGCGCGCGCGCCAGAGCATCTGTGTGATTCTGTGCTCTCGCGTCTCTGTGGGCTGCGTTGCGATCCCGGGTTTGAATCGCACCAGTGGTGAAAGCTATGTGGTGTAAGCTGTGAGGTGTGATCAATGGAGGTGAAAGCCATTCGGTGTAAGTTGTGCAGCATTAGATATGTCGTGCAAGCTATGCGGTGCGAGCTGTATGTGAAGTCATGGGATGTAAGCTACTCGATGCAAGCTATGTGGTGCAAGCTTTGCGCTGTAAACTATATGGTGCAAGCTATGCTGTGCAAGGTATGTAGTGGACGCTATGCCATGTAAGCTTTATGATGTGAGCAATGGAGGTGAAAGCAGTGTGGTATACGCTACTGTATGTCGTATAAGCTACCCGGTGTGAGCTGGGGGTGCCATTGGGGGTAAGCTATGTGATGTAGGCTATGTTGTGCAAGCTTTGCAGTGTAATCTATGTGGTGTAAGCTATGTGGCTAAAGTTATGTGGTTAAAGCTTTGTCGTGCCCGCTCATGAGGCGCCTACGAGGAGGCACGGTCGGCATCGTGGCGCAACTTCGACGTGCCCCCCAAGGGGGGGGGCGCCCACGAGGCGCCCACGAGTCGTCACGGGCGGCAACGCGGCGCAACCTCGACATACCCCTTTAGCGCGTGCGCCCACGAGGTGCCCACGAGGCGTCACGGGCGGCAGCGTGGTGTAACCTCGAGATGCCCCAAAAGCGCGGGGCGCCCTCGATGCGGCACGGGCGGCAACGCTGGGAAAGCCTGACATACCCCCAACGCGCGGGACGTCCACGAAGCGCCCACGAGGCGGCCCTTGCCCTTCAACGTTGCGAAACGCCAGCACACCAGCCCAATTGTTTAAGCAAGGGCAGTCACAACCCCTACGTGCAAGCGTTGTTCGGGGAATCCAATGCCGAATCTTTGGCCACTTTGGAAAATAGGAGGAACTGATGCTCCAGTAAAGAAACCCCAAGCTCCGCGCATCCTCGGTGGAACGGTTGGGTGCCCGTGGCGCAGGTGCGAATTTTCCCCCAGACGAACGTCGATCGCCGAGCCGTGGAAACGCGCAAAGCAAACCAGTAAATCTGTAATAGCGTTGACTTCATTGCACAACTTCCACTCGCGTTGACACCAAGTAGATGTGGTGTATTGTATCATCACGGAGGGAGCAGGAGGGGGAGGAGGAGGAGGAGGAGGAGGGAGATGAGGAGGAAGGGCGGAAGAAGATGAGGATGAGGACCATTGTAAACCCAACGGTTAGCAACGATGTTAGAATCAACCCTCCCTCCAAGCTCCCTCTTCATAGGCCCCTACAAGGGTCATGTCTACTGAGGGAACTGCCTCGTTGGAAGTCAGCCGTTTGAAGACCCTGATGCATGCCAACACATATTTCTCGGGATTCCAACGCCACGGAACAACCTGACTGTTGCGTCGTGACGATTCCGAATTGTGCTAGCATTCCATTCTTGGGACTTCAGTACCGCGAGCCAACGTAACTGTTGCACCCTCAGAATCTTAAATCCTTCCAGAACACGGCTTCTGGTACGCTGATCATGGGGACCCATGAAGTTCTGGCAAATTTGTTAAAACGAATGTGCGCGGCACTTCGGCGAGAGCCACATTTCGAAAATGAGCCGCCCTCAATTTGTGAAACTCTTGCAAGGTAAAAAGAACGAAGGTGCGTGGCGCTTCGGCGAGAGCCACATTTTGAAAAGGAACCGCCCTCAATCCGTGAAGTTCTTACACATTGAACAACGAATGTGCGCGGCGCTAATGCGAGAGCCACATTTTGAACACGGGTCGCCCTCAATCCGTGAAGCTCGTGCAAGTTTTGAAAGAACGAGTGTGCGCGGCGCTAATGCGAGAGCCACATTTTGAAAACGGGCCGTCCTCAATCCGCGAAGCTCTTGCAAATTTTGAAAGAACGAATGTGCGCGGCGCTCAGGCGAGAGCCATATTTTGAAAACGACCCGGCCTTCAACTGTGAAGCGGTTGTCAATGTTTAACGTTCAGGCTTTTGAGTGGTGAGGAAGTCTCAGGCGAATCGCCCGGACCGCCCTAAAAACTGGCCTCGGGGTGCGAACGGGAGAAGTTATTTATAAGGCAAAGGAATCGAGGATGTGGATGAGGCTGAAGAGGAGGAGGAGAAGGAGGAGGAGGAGGAGGAGGAGGAGCAGGAGGAGGAGGAAGGGGAGGAGGAGGAGCTTAGCTGTGCAAGCAAGCAGCCCGCGTCCAAAATCCACATGCATAGGCCAGGCGATTTCGTTCGGGCGGAGGGGCGGTCCAGGCTGAATCTTTCGAGAGGAGTCCCTATGTTGCTTGTACTCTGCGGGTCTTCTCGGTGAGGAGCACGATCTTATGGGACATAAGAAGAGCCGATCTATTGGGAACAATGGGTCAGTTGAGAGGGAGGCTAGGCGAACATCATGACTCATACTTGCGCGACAAGGGCCCAAGATGCGAAGACGATCTTCATGTACGTACCGCAGCCAGCAGAACGAACACCTACGAAGCGAGCCACAGACTGAACCTGTCATGGCACGTGGTGTCCGCTCCAGGAACGGCCCAGCCTTCGGCGCATCTTCGCCTTCGGCGGAGGGTGGCGGAAGGCTGGCACCGGGGCCTGCCTGGCGCTGACGTGCGGCCAGGCGCCCACCTAGAGTAGTCTTGGACGCTCCACTTGCCAGCGACCCACCACGGTCCAGATTCGCTGAGGATTTTCCATAACATAGCGGGTGTGTTCCTCCCAGCGCTGCAAGTCGTATTGCTAGCATTTTCGCCGTTCCGTTTTCGACTGGGCGAGGCTAGACAAGGCAGGACAAGACAATGCAGGTCCTGATAGGCCTCATTGGTCCAAGAAGGCCTTCAGCTTGGCTCCAGTAGGCCCCAAGAAGACTACAATCTTGTTATAAATCGGCGTCACCCGTCATACTGATACTATATGTGCGTCGCCCCTCTTGGGGCGACGCGCGCATCGAGAAATCTTATAGTGTATGCGTCGTGGCGGGCGCTTTCTGGCCACACCGCTCGGGAAACGATATACTACAAGACGGGTATATTATTCGGTTCGGAGGCGGGCCTCCAAGGAGGACATACTAGTATGTCTCCCCGCGTCCCGTCAAAGCGGGCCAGACTATATTGGGCAGACGGGTTGTTGTTCAACAACTGATGCTCTCAGTCGTCTGCGCCCAGGGGGCTGGTGGGTCAGACAAGTACAAGCAAATACATTTGCTCCCTGTGGCTGCAGCTGTCGTACGCGGTGTGGGCTGCATCTCACAAAGCCTAACGACGAGGAGGAGGAGAAGTATTAGAAAGCGGAGGAGGATGAGGATGAGGATGGTAATGCTGATGATGATGTTGATGATGATGATGATGATGATGATGATGCTGATGGTGCTGCTGCTGATGATGATGATGATGATGATGCTGATGATGATGATGATGATGATGATGATGATAATAATGTTGTTGGTGATGGTGATGACGCTGATAATGATGATGATGATGATGATGATGATGATGATGATGATGATGATGATGATGATGATGACGATGCTGATGCTGATAATGATGCTGATTCCGATCATGATGATGCTGATGATGGTAATGCTGGTGATGGTGATGACCGCCCACCAAACCACCCCAACCCAACCCGAAGGCCCCGATTTGCCCTCCATTTCCAGTGTGGTGGGGGGGTCGGGAAACATTGAACAGACACATATGAACCCCGTACCCCCCCCCCAACCCGAAATTCGGGCCTTCGGGTTGGTCTGGTAGGTAGTCAGGTGATGATGATGATGATGATGATGTTGATGATGATGTTGATGATGATGAGGAGGATGATGATGCTGATGATGATGATGACGATGATGATTATGATGATGATGATGATGATGATGATGATGATGATGATGATGATGCGGATCCTGATCTTGCTGCTGCTGCTGATGCTGATGCTGATGCTGCTGCGGCTAATGATTGTGCTGTTGCTGATGCTGTTGCTGATGACGGGGATGATGAAGAAGATGTCGCTGCCCCTGATGCTGATGCTGTTGCGGCTGACCATGCTGCTGATGATGAAGGTGCTGCTGCTGATGATGCTGCTGTTGCTGATGTTGACGCTGCTGACGATGCTGATGGTGATGATGACGTTGATGCTGCTGATGATGCTGATGCTGATGATGCAGTTTCTGATGATGATGCTGATGCTATTATGTGATGGTGATGGTGTTGTTGATGGTGATGATGATGGTGGTGGTGGTGATGGTGAGGTTGATGGTTATGGTGATGATGCTGATGATGATGAGGAGGATGATGATGATGTTGATGATGCTGCTGATGATGGTGCTGGTGGGGATGCTGATGCTGATGTTGATGCTAATGCTGATGCTGATGCTGTTGATGATGATGACGACGATGATGCTGATGATGCTGATGCTGCTGATGACGATGATGATGATGCTGATGATGATGATGACGACGATGAGGAGGATGACGTTAATGCTGATGCCGCTGCTGATGCTGGTGCTGATGGGGATGCTGATGCTGATGCGGATGCTGATGCCGATGCTGATGCTGTTGTTGATGATGATGCTGATGACGACGATGATGATGCTGATGATGCTGATGATGCTGCTGATGATGATGCTGATGATGCTGATGATAATGATGCGGATGCTGATGATTGTGATG